ATATATATGTCTACAAACCATATATATATATATATATATATATATATATTCTTGTCTGTTAACGTTTTCACTGTTTCTGGTATACCAGAACATCTGTAGCTTTGCCATAACATTGTTTCTCTCTATGCCAATGCTGTAAGTGTAAACCATTACTGCACCAACAGGAAACCACTTGATGCAGCGCTCTGAGCTAGCAATGTGCTGTTTACAGTGTTTGCAAGGCAGCCGTGTATTTATATTTACCACATAACCAACAATTATGACATTGACCTAAAATCTGCATACTGAATTGTGATTTCTTTCTTGCATTAATTTAAACAGGCATCTTGACTTATTGACACAGACCTAAAACCTAGATTTTACCCTATTCTGTTGCTGCCTTGCATACATGACCATGTCCTGCAAGAAATGCAAATCTAGTGTACTTTTAAAATAGTACAAACCAGTCTCTCTCTGATCTTGGCATGTGATCAATAGGCACTGGGTGTATTGATTTTAAGTTTTGTCACAGATTTAAAGACCTATCTGTTTCTTTCAGGCTAGCTTAGCTGTCAACCCTGCCAGCCTTCTGCCAGGCGCAGTGCCACGGATTCCAGGAGCTGTCAGCGTAATCCCTGGCCTGGCACCCGCTTCCCTCCCTGCAGCTGCCAAGCCGCTGCCAGCTACCGATACGATCCCTGATCATCAGCCCTCCAGTGAGGGAGGGGTGAGCTTCGACTCGGCCGCTCAGGTCAGCACGCTACAGAATGCTAACAAGGTAGGTCAGACTGCAGTATGTATGTTTTTGCTTCTATTGTCCTCATTTGTAAATCGCTTTGGATAAAAGCGTCTGCTAAATGACTAAATGTAAATGTAATGTTTTATAGGTGTCACGAAATATTGGTTGTGTGCCATTGCAATGAAAACTGCTGCTGTTGATATAGTGTAGTGTTAATTTAACATCCTGTTCTTTTCAGTTGACACAAAGTCTGGAATTTTAGGTCACACTTTATTTTAATGTCCAATTCTCGCTATTAGCAAACCAGTAACTATGACTTTTGCCTCAATAAACTCCTAATATGCTGCTTATTAATAGTTAGTAAGGTAGTTGTTAAAGTGCCCCTATTATGGGTTATGAACGGTTCATAGTTTGGTTTTGGGAGTCCCCAACAACAGGATGACATGCATGTAAGGTCAAAAAACACTTTAATTGTCTTATAATATGCATTTATTTTTACCTTATTTGCTCAACGATTCCCAAACAATTCGCTCAACGATTCATTTTTCCAAACCCCTCCTTTTGCATGACGCTAATCTGCAGTGATTGGTCTGATTGGTTGATTTCATTTCCATTTCATCCTGCCTGTAATGCCTGATAAAGCAGCGTTTGTGAGCGCAGTGCTGCTTTGTGTACAGTGTTACCGGGAAAACCGCTATTTTTACCGCTCCTAAAGCGACATCTAGTGGCAAAGAATGAATTTGCATTTTCATTCAGACCAACACGAAAATTGACTGATGGTTTTATGCAACAAACACACAGAGCCGTAAATGTGAACCGGTGTACATATAACCCATGCAGGAAGCCCCGCCACACATAATGTAAGTCTGTGGGAAACACTGCAGCAGTCTTCAGTAAAATGACGGGGACACAACACAAGGTTGGGGCTATACTGATGTGGCATTGCTGTAAAAATGAACTTTAACTAGGGTTGGGTATCGTTTGAATTTTATCGATTCCGATTCCGATTCCGATTCTGCTTATCAATTGGAACCTAGTTTCGATTCCAATAAGATAAAAAATCCAATATAAAAAAAATTAAGTCAAACATTTGTTCTGTCTTTACAAAGCATTCTGTTGCAGCTGAATAACACGAGCAAAAATCAGCAGCCTACAGAACACTGCAAGAGGAATTTTGCCTATGCTTTAAAAAAAATACCACAGCAAAAACAACTAGATTATTAATATAAATTTCAAATATTAAAGTGTTAAAGACAAGTAAACAGTCAGTAATAAGATAGTAAAAAATGAATCAATTAGCAATATCATAAATAAATACAACTCAACAAAATTTCAGGTACAGAAACTGTAATTAAAAGTTTAAAAACACTGCATAGTTTTCTTTTCATAAATAAAATATAGATTAATCAATTAAAGTTATTAAATATATTCAGTCAAGATCAGTGAATGATTTTCTTTTGTTCTTTGATTAACATTAATGACAGGCAGCGCGTTTATTAGACTGGGTTCAAGTTTTCCCGGGTCTGCGCCCGCAACAAGTGGGCGGGCAATATGTTAATGTTTCATGTTGATGTCAACATGAAACGGCTTGGGATTCATTTTAAAAACGACTCGTTTCAATGATTCAGAGTCGACTCTTTCTTTTGAGAGACAATAACTTTATACACGGTGCACTTTCAGATTTAAAACTTTGCAGGATGTTTTCATTCACTTAGAGCTGTGTTACACACTGCATGAAAGGTCATTTTCAAAAATCCATAATAGGGGCACTTTAAGTTTAGGTATTGGGTTGGATTAGGGATGTTGAATATGGTCATGTGCTTTAGAAGTACTAATAAACAGTTAATAATAGGCATGCTAATAAGCAACTAGTTAATAGTGAGAACTGATCCCTATACTAACGTGTTACCGAAGACTTTAGTCATATTTTAGTCATGCTGCATAATGGTTTAACTGATAATAAAAATGATTTTGCTCAAAATTATAATTGTGATTACTGCTCATGATTGTTGTCTTTTGAGAAACTACATCAGAATTATTGCACTTTCACCTATAAGCAGAAATCGAGAATATCAACTCATATACATGGTTTATTCTCATATATATAGTTTCCAGATTAATTAATCAATTTATTATTAATTCAATTTAAATGAAAATGGGTAAAACCTTTTCTCAAAGCTTATAAAGTGAATCTTTTTATATTAATTCATTTAATTCCAAATTATAATCATGTTTTTATATTAAAACATACAAAATTACTCTGTATTGTGGCAGAGAGGTTGTGTAAGTGCATTTATTCAGGAATATTTCAATAGGTTATAGAAATATATTCAGGATATTTCTATAGGTTTATATATTTTTTCTCTATTTTAGTTTGAAGACAATATAGACAGATTTTGGATATAGAGAGATTTTATTTTTACAGTTTTTACTACATTTTTAACTACATTTTAATCTCATCTTTTTTTGTCATGTTGATATACTGTAGTCTCAGCTAGTGTTTAATGATGTTGGTGTCGTGTCTCTCGTCTCGTCTTAGTCATGGAAAAAAGTTGTTAGTGAATATTTTTCTTTATAGTTCTCATTAACAAAATGAACACTAGCAGAATGTCCAGTCAGTGGCTTTCTTCTGCTGCAGGGTCGGGCTAAAGGCGCAGTGCGACGGCGACCGCAGACAAGGGCAGCAAGACAACTTGCAGCACAGCAATCTGAGGAAGCTGTTGGAGAAAGCACCTCTATACAAGCTGATGAGCCAATTATGGCTGCTTCTCTCCCTACCTTTAACCCCGTTTCAGTGCGACCCTCAGCGCTCACTATACCTGTCAGCACCCCTGCTCCTGCCAAGAGCCCCGATGAAGCAGTCAGGCCAAAGAGATTTCTCGATTCTGGAGATGATCTGTTTGATTCAGATCTCTTTGCCACAAAGCCTGTTCCCTCCTCAAAACACAAAGCAAAGACCCCTGAGGAAGGCCATAAGAAAGCCTCCAAGACAGAGGCCATCATAGCTTCAAAGAAAGACCAGGCCTCGTCTATTTTTGACAGCCATGAGGATGATCTTTTTGCCACAGTGAAACAGAAGAATGTCCAGAAAGGCAAACAAATGTCCTTCCTAGAAGATGATGATGATGATATTTTTGGAGCAGGAAAGAGTAAAAGTGCAGATAGTAAAAACTCCAAAGCAGAAGCCAGCTCTGCAAAACCAGACATTTTCCAGGTAAATATCACACATTCTTTAAGTTTGGTATTACAGATCTGTGGGGTAGTAGGAAGTGGTATGACTGATTTTTGTTTCTCTATTGACCATAAAATAAATGTTTACAGGATGACGTGAAAGAACCTCCCAAAGCCCAGAAGAAGCCCGAGGAAGTGTCATCGGATGCAAGTTTGTTTGATGATGATGTTGATATTTTTGCTGACTTGACTGGCACCACAAAGCCGAAGGAGAAGAAAGCTAAGAAGAAATTGGAGACAAAATCTATATTCGCCGATGACATGGGTTAGTTATTGCTGCAAAACACTCTTCACTATGATTCTTACCAGTGGCCTCGTTATAAAACTGTAAATTTCATCCTAAAAGTGATAAATACAGATTTTGCTTATGCACAAAAGTGTTCAGATTTGTAAAAACAGGTATGCCAGAGCCTGCGCAAAGTTACCCAGTCAGCGAATAATTTTGCTTACATGCATTGGTGCCTAGTCTCCTCCCCAAAATAACCATATATGGAGACTACGACGCCTCGTTTTTCTATGCATAACCTCGCCTGCATATAATTTCCATATGCATATTACCATCCATGTGATGCTGCCATGTTTAACGGTGCAAGACTCTAGGAAAACATGATATAGACTGTAAATCTTGTTTGTTGTCACATTACATAAAATTCATTCACAATTATACTTTGTTTGAACAAAAGAAAGAAACAAACAAAAACAAATATATAAAAATAAATATTTTAATTGTTTTAAACAAACCAAATTTGTGCAGATTTGCCTATAAAGTAAACATATACAGCATTTTTTTACATAAAAAAAAAAAAAGTCTTACCAGTTCCCTCAAATTCTTTCCTTCAAATATATGTGACCCTGGACCACAAAACCAGTCATAAGGGTCAATATTTGGAAACTGAGAGTTATACATCATCCGGAAGCTGAATAAATAAGCTTTCCATTGGTGTATGGTTTGTTAGGAAAGGACAATATTTGGCTGAGATACAACTGAAAATCTGGAATCTGAGGGTGCAAAAAAATCAAAATATTGAGAAAATCGCCTTTAAAGTTGTCCAAATGAAGTTCTTAGCAATGCATATTACTAATCAAAAATTAAGTTTTGATATATCTACAGTAGGAAATTTACAAAATATCTTAATGGAACATGATATTTACTTAATATCCTAATGATTTTTGGCATAAAAGAAAATACAATGTTTTGTTGGCTGTTGCTACAAATATACCCGTGTTACTTATAACTGGTTTTGTGGTCCAGGGTCACATATATGGTATTTTTCATAATGTTGGGAAGACCTGTCTGTCTATGAGTTCTTCATTAATGGGAGTTTAAAATAATTCTGTTTACTTCACTCACATCAGTAAATGAGTCTATAGTGATTTGATGGTGTGCACATATTTGCACCAAGTTTATTTTCTTAATAAATCCTGAAATGTGCCTGGAAATTTGCCTATGCATGAAATGGGCATTGAAATGGCCATACACAATTTTCCACACATGCATATCATGATTTATACATGAGGCCCCAGGTCATTTGAATTAATTTATGAACATTGGTTTAGAAGGTAAATGTGCTCAACAATAAAGACACACTCACAAATGCTTACTGGTATATGATTTTTGCTCTCACCTCACAGATGATATCTTCTCGACTGGGGCTACGAAACCAACGGTGAAGCCGTCCTCCAAATCTAAGAAGAACCAGCCTGCCCAGGATCCCGTATCATCTGTGGAAACGGGCAGCAATATTTTTGATGATCCCTTGAACGCGTTTGGGGGAAACTGAGTCTCCTACATAACAGCATTTTGTTTAACTTTGTAGCGATATTCATGGCCTAAATGAAGGTAGATGTAATCTAACACTGTTAATAATTTAAACTCTAATAGGTAACTTTTACAAAAAAAAAATAGACAGGAAAAAAGAAGATTGTAAATATATTTACCTCTAATGCCATCTGTAAAGTCATCTGATTGGTAAAAATTGTAGCAGTCATCAAATGGCATTGACATTTGCAACTGTTATGTGTCTTTTATTAGCACTTTAAACATGAAAATTGTCTGGTAAGGTGTAAAAAAGAAAAGAGTGATTAAGACTGGAGACATTCCTCTGACATTGTCAACTGTAACGTTTCTTTTTTTCATTGTGGTGCCATAACTCTAAGCCTATGCGCCAACATAAGTGCTTTTGTTGTTGATGTTTTTATAACAAGAGCTGAAGTTTTCTTGTGTTGCATGTGAAATGATTTTTGGAAACTGAAGAAAATATATTTTATGAAACGTACTGAATGAGTCTGAGTGCTTGAATTCAAAATTTGTAGAGGACCAAACCATTGCTAATCATTTAATATAGAAAATGTAAAATCTTTAAACCTTTCAATGTTATGCACTGAAAATGCAACCAGATAGTCACAAATTGTTGTTGGACGCTGCCAGGGTGACCGGGGTAACATCCGGGAGATGGAAAGGGGAGTCGAGAGAAAGGTCCCGCCCACTCTGCATTTCCATTGGACGAGTGGTTCTCTTTTTCTCCAACGGCTAATGTTATTCGTTCTCCTCACTGTCAATTAAGAAAATCACGATAGGCTGCCTCCTTTTCAGATTGTTGTATTCTGTTTTAATGGGGCCTTTGAGCCGCATAACATCGAAACAAAAGCAGTTGTCCGTAGCTCGAAAAAATACGGTAACGTATTGGCGTGCAGAAACGGTAAAGATGCTGTAGGAATTTGAAAGCATCAGCGGCATCCGCGAGTAGTTCGACGGGCTGCTTGTGCCGCTTTGCTAAACCAGCTAGCCGCTACAATACAATTAAAACACCTTTTATTGCAAGTTTCTGTCAGATAACAGTTCAGAGACTGGGGAATCGGTCGCTTTTACTTTTTGGGGTAACTACCTAGTTTTTGGGGTGTGTTGTGGCTGGGACATCAGCCAGGACTCTGATCCAGCTGTCCCTCCCTGCAGATCTCCTCTGATGCAGTCAAGGTAAGATGACAAATAGGTGTAACTGTTAATGAACGACTATTTTAAAAGTCAAAGAACCTAGCTAATCGACTGGACTTTTGGATACTTCACATATTAGTCGACTTTTGGGGAAAACAAGTTGGAAAAGCGTCGTTTGTAGCTTTAAAACGCTTTTGTGTTGTTTAGACTAACTTAATTGTAAATAAACATTCTGATAACACAACATCCATTAACTTTCAGCACAACCCAGATCAGCGTTGATCAACAGAAGAGATGGATAATTATTATTATAAATTATTATTATTATTAATAATAGTATAAATAAGTATAAGTATTAATAAGTATTATTTATCATAAATATGTAGTAATAAGCAGAGTAATTTTTAGCATGGCCTCTTCAATGTACTAAACATAAGTTTAAATCATTAATTTATATATATATATATATATATATATATATATATATATATATGTATAT